GTGAAGACAGTTAACTCAGAAAGTGCAGGGCAGAGAAGAGAGACACCATATCCCACAAACAGACAAAGAAGCCACTCTTGGGTTTATGAAAAAAGCAAACATGAGGCAATTTGATGAGAACCTCTACAGAAACACATTCATCTTTAAGCTAGTTCATGGGCTCAGACTGACACATCACAGAAAAGCCTGTGGGACAGGAACACAGGAACATGATGAACAAGACAGCACATGAAGTTAGGGATCAATTCTGAGAGTTTTCTTGACTGTTTCTGGCTAGGAATTCTCTGAGGGAGAACTGTTGATGGGAGGACATGGGGAATGCATAACAGCATCCTAGCTAGGCAAAGTGCTGTGCTAACATCATGAATGTCTAAGCATCTTTGGTAAATTTTAGGGAGTTTTCATTTCAGAGCATGGGCTTGTATATGTAACGGATCTAATTTTACAAAGTTCCTACTTTAAATGCTCCTGTAAGTTCTTCAGGTCTTGGCATCTTGGCTTTTTCAACCAAGATTCTTGCTTGTGGATTGGCAGAAGTATTCCTCTGGGGCAGTTTGTTTGCTTGTTTATTTTTAAGGTGGAGTCTTCTATGCATCTCGGGATGGTCTCAGTTGCTTGGCTTTCCAAGTGCAGAGACTACTGGCATAAAGCAGTACACCCAGTTAAAGTTTATTTCAGACTACACGTGATGGCTTTTGTGGATCTGATATACCAGAACCATTGCACCCGGAGTTAAAAATAGAGCTCTTGGATCTCCACCCTGACACTCCAAATCTGGATCAGAGTCTTTGAGGTTAAGGCCAAGACTCTAGTTTCTGATAAGGTTGTTCTTGTTTTCGAGACCATATAGACCAGATTGCCTTGGGATACATAATCCTCTTACCTCAGCCTCCCAAATGGTAAGATTACAAGGCACCTCCATGCCTTTCTGAGGCTGGTTTTTAAGTTGAAAAATATATTTTTAAAATTAGTAATATATGTGTAGGAGTGCATGCCTACGTATGGGCAGAAGCCAGAGCAGGTGTCAAATGTCCTGCCCTGTCACTTTCCCATCTTATTCCCTTGAGACAAGGTTAATCACTGAACCTGGAGCTAAGCTGCTGGCCAGTAAGGCACAGTAACTCCTGTCTCTGACTCTTATTCCCACCCAGGGCTGGCTTACAGTTACATGTGTCCACCCCCATTTAAACATAGATGTTGGGGCATGAGTTCAAGTTCTCATGTTAGTGTAGTCAGTACTCTTATCCACTGAGCCATCATCTGCCCAACCCCCAGACTGTCAGAATATGCCCCAGAATCCTCTGATGTGCAGTCAACTCTGCCTGCCAGAGTTGGTGGTCTGATGGCATTGGAAGGGAAGAGAAAAGAACAACAGGCTCTACCCCTAAAACTTCATGAAACAAGTGATTAACACACTTTCTAGGTCAAGGGAATCTAACATGGCAATCTCTCTGGGTGAAATATCCCTCCTCCCCCACACTCTAAATTCCCCACATGTTGAAGATACAAGTACAGAAAAACACACCTTAAATTTCAACACCTACCTTCTGAGTTGAGCAATCGGGGGAGCTCATGATGCCTGCTCTAATTGTACCTATTAAAGAAGGAATAAGGAGTTCTCAGTTTCTCCAAGGATCAGTCTCTCCCTTCCAGCTGCTTTGAAATCTGTGATCCCTTAGAGCAGAATGGGGATGACACCAGCAGCAGAATGTTCAGACACTCTGGAAGCTCTGACACAGAGCTGTTTCTCTGAGGTCATAGACTTTGGTATCCCAGGGAGTTCCCTGGCAGAAAGGAAGAGGAAAAAAGACAGAATGAAGAGGTAGCCTGGCGTTCTGCCAGAAGTCCTCCAGTGCCCACTTACTCCTTGCAGTATTTGTTCTTTGTTTCTTTTCAGTAGGTTTCTTGGGACTTCCTAGAACAGCCTGATGTCTCTGTAGAGAACAAAATTGAAGCACAGTCACATATTAATAAATAGAAGTGGGAGCTTGCTATCCCAAATAACACCCACCCCTGGGAGCCTAGACTCTTTCCTCTCTTCCCGGAGCAGTTTTAACAGTAATAGAGTTTGTACCCAAGCCTTGTGGTGGGTAACCAGGCTTTAGCGTCTGTTGCTAAGAGGAGGGCCCTCTTCTATGTTTAAACACAAGACTGGGCTTGACCTACTGGCTCCCTTTGTAGGAGGCTGAGCTGAGCAGCAGGAAGTACTAGTGACAGGAAATTGAGAAAGTATTTAGTAAGGGACCAGAAATGTAGCAATAAAAGATCATAATCTTGGAGATGTCTAGAGGCACACAGGCTGGTGGTTGAGTTCTTCAAGTCTAGAGTTCGACTGGTCTAACTCGAGTCTACATTTCCCATTAAGTAATATGAAGCTTGTGTCAAGTGAAAGTGCCAACTTTCATTTTAAAACCCTGTACCATTTTCTGGTAATATTGTGAGTACCCACCTCATCAGGGTTGTTTTCGAGTTTAATGAGATAATACATCTAAAACAGTTTGCACACTGTAAATTTATCCTAATTTGCTTATGACTTTCATACACACATACACACTTTGAGACAGGGTCTGAAGATAACCTTGAATTTCTGATCATCTGTTTCTACCTCCTTAGTGCTAGTATTTACAGGTGTGAACCCCCATGCTTAGATGCTCAGTTTATGCAGGACTGAAGATCAGCTCCAGTGCATGCTAGGCAAACACTCTACCAATCGGGCTGCACCCCCAGACTTTCCCTACTTTCCCACAATAGTCTTTCATCTTGAGAGCTTTCTCTGTCCAGGGCAGGTTATGAATGTTGTAGCTAGCAGCAGTATTATAGTTACAGGCACACAAGCACATACACTTACACATAAGTATCCAAGATTCAACACTGCCACAACACCCAAAGCATTCATCACATGGCTACTTTCAAGTTCTTTCAGGATGCTTTGGTGACTGTTTCTTCATCCAGTTTCCCCTTAACTTCATGATGCTCCCATTTGGAAACTAAAACAGAGATACATTTCTTATTCTACAGAGCCAGAGCTCAGGTTAGATCTTAGAGGGCTGAAAAAGAATTGCTTAACTAGAACAAGTGTGTGAGCTCATTGGGGTTATTATCACAAAGTGCCACAGTCTGAGAAGCTTATTAAAACAAACAACAGCAAAAACAAACGAACAAAGAAAAATAAGAAACATGTTTCTCATAGTGCAAAATGATGGAAGTCTGAAGTCTGAGTGTCAGCATGGCAAGATTACAGGGAGGATTCTAGACGGCCAGTTTTTTATGCTGCTCTCCCCATTAGAGACAGGCAAGACAGCTCTCCCTCTCTCCTCCATTTATAAGGCATTATATTCATAAGGGCTTCATCTTCTTGACTAATGGCTTCCCAAAGGCCCCCACCTCCTAATACCACCACACTGGGGGACAAAGATATAAAATTATTCAGCCCATTGCTGTAGAAAATGATGGGAGAGCCCAGGAGAAGCTTCACATGGATTTATTTTACCAGTCCTTTGAATGTTCATCAAAAGCCAAGTTCTCAATGCTACAGAGATGCTAGACCCCCAGATGAGAAATACAAGGTATTGTAGGAAAGGCAGTGACACTCCAGGAAAAGCAAAACCTACTGACCATAACAACGGATGCTGGAGGTAGGAGGAACTAGAGGATTCAAAGAGGTGCCCCTAGATGGCACCCTTAAGCTGAAGTCCCAGAGAAGCCCCGATTTTCCAAAGCATGTCCATCAGGGTCTCATGGTCTAAGAAAACAAACCCATATTTCTTGTCACCTGGGTGGGAAATGTGTCATACTGTAGCTACAGAAAGTGTATGCAGCCAGACAAGAGTGCCTGAAAAACATCAGAGACACACCCTTTTCTTGCCATGCTCCCCATGAGAGGTAATGTCACCAATACCACACAGCCACAGCTAGACATGGGCCCTGAGATGGAGTCTCCAGAGCCCCAGCCCATAGTTTTCTACTGTAAGCTCAGAGGCAGTGCTTCTGAATATCCAATGACTACGCCCTATCCCCCAACCCCTCGGAAACATTTTCAACCATCAAAGCTGGGGTTGAGGGGCTGTTGCCATATTTGTATTTATTTCGTGGGTAGAACCTAGGAATGCGTCCAACCACCCCACAGTGCGCACAGGGCATCTAGGAAACAGACTCTTCCCATCTCAGATGCCAACTGCTATTGAGTAATTGTGTTCCTTAGGCCTGGATTTGGGACTAGGAAACGTGGGTTTCTCTACCATGGATCCTTGAGAAGAGGATTTGAGTTTATTTATCAACCTTATCCCTTTAGCTTTCCGTTTGTTTTTGTTTTTAATCTGCAAAATGGAGATAACCCATCTCTAAGATTCCCTGACTGTCAACATTTACACTTGCGTAATGGCTAGACTTTCCAGTCTAGGAGGTACTTCACTGACTTGAACTCCGGGGGCAAGTTTAGAACTGGATCTCTATCGAGAAGGGGAAACTCTAAGTTCCCCTAAAAACCCACCTTTGGCTGCCAGTCCACCTGAGACGTGGTCCCAGAACTTTCACTCCAAGCCACCGCTTTAGGGACTGTCTCCAAACCCTCATTTCCTCATTAGTCATCCTCTAGAGTCTAAAAGTTTGTAGGGGTTGTTCCTAGAGTGTGTGGGAAGAAGCGAATGTTCCTAACAAAGCTGGCAGCTGCAAGGCTGGTGCCAGAATACCGGATCCTTCCAGCTTCTGCTGGGAAGGCGGGGCAGGAACCAGGGCCCGGGTGGAGGACCAGTGTTAATCCTCTGTGAGGGGCGGGGCCTCGGCGAGGGGGCGTGACATAAGGGCGGGGCTTCTGCCTAGTTGAAGGAAGAGCGCTCGCTGGTGGGGAGGAGCTGGTACAGCTCCGTCCCCAATCAGCGCGGCGTCCCTCTCTTCTTCCTCCTACTTCGCTTCCCTCCCTCGGTGGCTGCAGAGCTGAGTCGCGGCAGCTAGCACCAGGTGAGAGAGCAAAGCTGTGGGATGTGGCGTTTAGGAGACCCCGACTGGCTGAACCCTCCAAGCTCGGCCTGGGAAGTGGAGGAGTTCAGGGGCGGCCACGGAAGAGTGCACTAGCTTCCTTCGCCTGTAGCTGTTGGTCTCTGGGTTGGCCTTGAAGGTGTGTTGCTGGCTAGACGCGCGGGTGGGAGCTCACGGGGAGATCTCACCCACCATTTCCAGCCATCCCCGCGCTTACATGTCGGTAGGTAGATTTGGTTAAAAAGTAGGGGGTGGGGTAAGCATCAGTGCCAATCCACGAGCGGGGCCTCATTTTTGGGAAACCTGCATGGGAAGACTTGGAGTCTTGCCTGGGCATCCAAACCACCTCCTTAGGATTGGTCAACAGGGGTGCCCTGCACCACAGCAGGAGGGAGCTTCAGGTGTCAAAGGTGGGTTTGCTCCAGAAAATCAGTAAAGGGTGCCCAACTATCCTGAGTTGCCCATGATTGGGTGTCAGATCTCCTTTCCTTCACTCTGGATCCCCGGCCTTAAACTGAAAGTCTCATCGGAAAAGGGGACAGGATAGGTTTTCGGGTGCCCCAAAGGCCCTGACCCCAGTTCTGGGATTCGACCCGACTCGCAACTGGAACGTTCAAGGTGGCGTGGCCGTTTGCTCGCGGGACGAGGCAGTCGAGAGGCAAAGCTTTATTTGGAGCCTTGTAAAGGGCGGAGCCTGTTCTCTGAGAACCTGACTAGGCCCCCAAGGTCAGAGTAGGCGGGGAGCCCTAGGCTAGTTAGGGTGGCGCCTTCCTTCCTTCCATATGATGCTGCTTAGTGTCTACAGAGGACGCCAGAAGGAGTACAGGGTCTGGAAATTGGTTGGTAGCTAGGTAGACAGATGCGTGTGCTCACTGTGGTCATCCGCATTTTTCCCACCCTTGCCTTCATCAGACTCCCCCAACCGGTCTGGGTGGCACTTGTATGTTTCCCAAGCCAAAGAAGACTTGTAAGAGGGCAGCTGGGCTTGTTTTAGTCCGCTGTAGAGATGAGATTAGGTGAACTGAAGGTTGGGACCATCCTAAATTCAACATCAATGCCAGCTGCTTGCATTAACAACATAAATATAGGTGCAGGAGTTGGTCTCCCCTGACTAAGAGGAGACTCTTTTTAGCCAGTGTGATGAAACTGTACATACCAGTAGTATGTGTTACCACTGTAACACATAGTAGCATGTGGGTTATTCAGTAAATAAACGTGAGGATCTCTGAGTTGGCCTTTTTTGTTTGTTTATTTTTTGTTTTTGTTGACAGAATCTACAACACACAAGGATGTGAGATCAGAGGGTTGGTCACAAGGAGATATGCAGGGATCCTATTCTGTCCAACCCAGACAGATATTCTGGGATACATAAAATGATTTTTTTTTTATTTGAAAGCTAAACGAGGGCTAAAAGTATATCTAATTTGGCTCATTGCCTTCATGAAAAATTGCATAAGCGATGTGAAATGAAGACTGTCTTGTAAATTCTAGGCTTTCAAGTGACAGAAAATAATTGTGCCAAGGCCTTGGAGACAGGTATTATTAGTGAGGACCTCACCACACATAAATAAAAGGTGCCCTTGTGCAAGGTGCTTGGGAGCCAAATAAAGAAGAGAAAGTATCCCAAGTAGCTGTTGAAGGAGAAAAAGAAAGACTGGAGGGGGAGGGGTGGTGGGAAGGAGTGGGGAAGCTTGAATAGTACATTCAGTGTTCTTGTTTGTCATATGTTCAACTTTCAGGCTCTCAGAGATTATGTCTTTCTAGCTCTTTCTATACTGTGTGTGTGTGTCTGTTGCAAAACAGTGAAGTGTTTATAATAAACAGATTTAACCTTTTCCTTCTAGCTTGCTTGCTGGTCATTATATATTATAAACAGGAATGAGATACACATCCTTTGGGTATATTTTCATATATCGTTTAACTCATTTAGGTTCATGAAAAATAAATTGCTGGATCAATGTGTGTGCAGCTTAAAAATTTGATAAATATTGTTAAGTTATATCCATCTATATGCCCACCATCAGTGTGTAGGGAATGGTACCGGTTCCTCAGGCACTACTAATGATTCAAGAACCTTTCTGTTTCCTTCAGTGACAGCAAGAGACAGGCGACATGAGAGATTGGGCTACATGCTACATCAGTGAACTTACTGGTAGAAGATATAATCTAGAGTGAGACTGAAGGATATTTCAAGATGGCCAAAGAAGAGTCCCCAAGTGTCTCCAGAGACTTGCAGGAGCTGCAAAGGAAGCTGTGTTTGCTGTTAGACTCCTTCCAGAGTAACTCAAAGGTTAGTCTCCAATGCCATGTATTATGGGAAATTAACACTGGTCTGAACAAGACAGAATGTTGTTTCTTTCTCAAATAGGACTTTACAAGTAAGTCAGGAACCTTTCTCTTTGCACCTTGATATGTCTGAGTTGTGGCCATGTTCACTGTGGCTGATAGAGCATCATCAGCCATCATATTGACATTCAAAGCAACAGAAAAACAGGGGAGTGTGAAGAAGGATTGTTTTCAAGCCACCTTCAAATTAAAGAGAATTCCTGGAAGTCATAGAGAATTGCAGAACACTTATAATTACATCCCATATAATATAGAATTTGGTTGTATAGTCACCCACCATGGCAACTGCCACTCTTTAGCTGGACCTAAAGAGGCTACTCTTAGTCCACACAGCACACACTACTCTTTTCTTTGAAAAGTTTGGCTCATCTGCTCCCCTAAGAAAGGGGGCCAGCTAATACCTTGTTTAAGATCTGAGTTTTGTGTTTCATTAGAAATTCATCATCCAACAGAAATGTTACTTTAGCCACATGTGCACTAAAATATTTTGGTACCTAACCCTAAGTCCAAAGAAGCAATGGCTTAATTTTAAGAATATAATATATCAAAAGTAGTATCATTTCAGCAGGTAGTCATAAAAATTAATGGAAAAGGAAATATTTTACATTCTTTTTGTACTGAATCTGAAATCTAGGCTTCATTGAACTTACAGGACTATTGTGATGCAAAGTTTTCCCTGTCAGTCACCACCACTCAGTGCAGTGGGATTTGAAATACTCTATTTCATTTCTTTGCATTTGTATCTTCTTCTTCTTTTTTTTTTTTTTCCCCTTTATGCCTTTCAACATTAAACAGAATGCTAGGGTTGAGGTGATGGTATAGTGGGTGAAGCTCTTGTCTGGCTGTCATGAAGACGTAAGTTTGAATTCCCAGATCCACATAAAGATGGATACCGAAGCTTATCTCTATTATCCCAGTGTTTCCGTGGCAAAATGGGAGGTGCAGACAGGAGGATCCTGGGAAGCTTGTGGGCCAGCTAGCCTGTCTTATTCAGTGTAAAACAGCAACAACAAAAGCACAAGAAGACCCTGTTACAGACAACAGGTGGAAGGCGAGGGTCAACACCTGAGGCTGTCCTCAGACCTCCACATGGGCACCATTGCGTGTGGTGTGTGCACTCACACACATAAAAACACACACATTCTGGTATGGAAATATAACACAGATGCAGGCAGGGTGGCTCAAGAGTCCATGCAAGTCTCCAGCCTCCTGGCAGTTAATATCATCAGCCCTGTGTTAGTCTCCTGGCACTCCCCAGGTTTATGAATGATGAAGCCACTAGATTAGAGAAGAAAAACGAGGAAGGGTTATTTAGAAGTATTTCTGTGGTTTCTTACTTACCCTAAAAGAAGAAAAAGGATTGTGTTGACTTAGAGCTTTCTCACAAACATCCCAACAGTCAGAAATGAATCAAACCTGGTCTTACAGCCTGTTGCACAGGGCAGAAAAATAATACGGCTGAGGACAGACAGAACAGGTCCACAGGGAGAGATTCAGTTCAAATCAATTTCTTTTCCTTGTTTTTCCAGCTTTTCATAAAAAACAACAAACAAACAAAAACAAACAAAATAAAAAAAACCCACACACATTCACTTACATTGTATAGACACATATACAAAAAGATTTTTTAAAAAAGTACTAGCTGCCTAATACCATTACCGTTTTGTTGTATGTCTTCCTGGACTTCTAGCCATGTGCACATTAAAGTATATATGCATAGAAAGTGGTGGGAACTACTTTGTGATTTTCTATTGGACAGCACATTTTACCAGCTTCTATAAAACATATACTTTGCCATCTAAAGTCTTCACAGAGGTCTGTTTTGGACTTGCTTCAGAATGTCTTTGGCATACTGCCAATTTACCAGGCTATTTGTAAAATGGGCAAGTAGCTTTGGTTAATTGGCTGAGACCCTTCGATGAATTAGCTCAGTAAGGAAGGCGTCATGGCCTTTGCACATTTACAGTTCATTCTCATGACTTGTGGGGGATGTGTTCTGTAAAGTCATCAAAGACACTGGGTTAGCAAATACCAAACAGACCATTGGTCTTACAGGAAATAAGACCTCAGGTGTTTCAAGTTTCTAATCACAATAGATCAGTATATGGTCCTTATTTTATATGTATTGTGGAAAAAGGCATTAATGTATATAACATACATTGTTGCTTGTTGGCACTGAACACAGGGCCAGTGGCAGGCTCATTCATATCTTAAACAAACACACAGATCTTCTTCATAAGGAACAGTAACAAAAGATACTGGTGGTGGTGTGGTCATGGCGGTGTGCATTTTAAATAGTGGAATTGCCAACCAGAAATAAAAAGATGTGAACTTTGTGGCATTAAATAGGCCACAATGCCATAGTTTGGTTCTTCAGTGTCCCAGAGAGGCCCAAATGTTAAAGGCTTGGCCAAGGGTGTGGTTGTGGGGAGATGGTAGAATCTTCAGAGGCGAGTCTTCATTGAATTTCAGGTTTGAACCATAACAAGCTGGGAATGTTCTCATTATAGAACACAGTCTTCACATCAAAGACACTCAAAGGACTGATTTTAGGTTCCAGATAAATTTAAGTGATTAGAAAAAATCCCCAAACATGGGATTTACAAATGATAAGGACCATGTGCTTATTAACCTGACTGAGGCCTTACTAAACTCCAACCTTGTACTGGGCATTTAGCATGTCTTAGTTAGTATTGAAACCTACTTTCTGAGGTAGGCATTTCAAAGCAGATGAACTTTCTTCTTCTTCTTTCCTTTTAACGACTCAGCCATACACATTGGAGCATGTTTGGGCTAGATAATTAGCCAGCTAGCCTACACCCAGAAAGGTGGGGAATTCTGGTATTCTAAGATAGTCTTGAGATGGAATTATTTATCTTACATGTTTTTAGTATATTAAATTATGTTAATTGTCCTTTAAAAATATTCATTTTATGTGTATATGCGTGCTAGATAAGTTTGTGCCTGAATGCATGTATGTGTATCACATGTGTGCAGTGCCTACAGAGGCCAGAAGAGGGCATTGGATTCTCAGAGCTGGAGCTACATGCAATTGTGAGCTGTTTTATGTAGGTTCTGGGAACTGAACTCAAGTGCTCTTCAAAAGCAGTATGTGTTCTTAACCACAGAGCTGTCCCTCCAGCCCACAGGTTACTCTAACGTAAAGTGACTTTGGAGGAAAAAGGAGAGCAAAGCCCCTATGAACTGTATCACTCAGATTCTCTGTTGCTTTGACAAATACCTGAGCAACATCATAAGGAAGGAAGAATTACGTATTTTTGGTTCATGGTTTTAGACCATTGTAGGGCAGAGAGCAGGATAGAACAGAGTAGCTCTTGCCATTATAGCCAGTAAGCAGGGGGATGGAGTGGGGATAGACAGACAGACAGACACACAGAGAGATTGCTTCAGAAATACATAGGGTAAAATGTACCCCAAGGATGTGTCCCCAGTGACCTTCTTCCTGCAGCTAGGCTCTATCTCCTGTAGTTTCTACAACCACCAAAACCAGCAGGAGTGGCTGGGGGGACCAAGGCTTCACAGCACATGAGCCTGCAGGAACCATATTATATTCAAATTGTAACAAAAGCCGTCACTAACAAACAGTGGTGGTTATCTGGGTGAGCAGTAAGATCCTTCAATGTGTAATGTTATATAATAGTGAGTGTAACCACAACAGATGTAATTGTGTATTTTTATTTTTGCTTGGTAGGGTGCTGTTTTTCCATACTGAATAATTTACATGTACCATTACAACATCAACAAGGCACATCAGATTAACATACTATAATTTATATAGCCATAGCCACCCCTTGTCTCTGGGAAATGTAGTTTCTTTTCCCCATGTAATTTGTGCTCTTCCCTCACAGTTTAATGAGCTCTTTGAACTTCAGATCAGGCTAGATTGGCCTTTAGATGGGCCAGCATGAAATTGTCCCATCCTGTCTGTAGTGAGTGGCCAAGTCTTAATTGTCTTACTTCTAGATTCCAAGAGACAGGAACTTGCTTAAAATTGTTTAAGCAAGCAAACAGGCAGGACCTTCCATAACTTTGGGAGACCTTCAGACTTCCCCAGGAGTCGTGGAAGGAGTAAAGCAGGATTGTCTCAGGACTAAAACCAGGGTCAGGCTGGTGACTGGTGCAGGAAGTAGCCCTCATCACGCCTTCTTCCTTGGGCTGTGTAGCTTAGCACATCAGTTCCATGTGTATTCACTTCATCCCGAGACTCTGCAGCCCATTTCCCTTGGCTTTTTCATTTATGTGGGCAAACATGGCTGTCCAGGCTCATACCCTCCTCTCCTCACATCTCTTTTAGCACCTGTAGAAAATCTGGAAGTTTCAGATTCCTATTCGTAGAAACACGAGTGTGGTTGGCATATCGGCCTTTGGCCACTGAGTGGCTGTTAGACTGGGCTCTTCAATTTTGTTTGAAATACACATGGCTTATGGGGTGTCCTCCTGCTGGGGAGGGAGCAGTTTCCAGGAAGGAGGAGGACAGGTAGACCACTAGTGAGTGGCATTTCCTGATGTGAATTATCTGTGACAGGTGACTTTCTTCTCATGTTGAAACTTTACACACATGAGAAAGATTTTAGAGCCCATTTCCCAGGAATCCATGTGCCATACCTGGATCATATGCCAGCAGCTACCCAGGGCCTAGTCTGGGAGAGGCTGTGATAGCACAGTGCCTCTGAATTGTTATCACTTGGGTGATGATCCTGACTGCTGTCACTGTCTCCTGTCCACTGGGTCCTTCTCCTCTAAAGCAGTGACAGTCAATCAATTGTCTTACATTCTCACAGTAGAGAATTTTCCTGGCTGTGAATAGCCTCAGGTGGAACTGTAGTGTCACAAATCCTGACCATGCAGGCCTGACTGTAGAAGCTCTCATGCCAGAGTGCATTTATAAATAAATAGCACCTGTCTGACCTTGGGTACATTAATTCAGTTCATTCCCAGCTCCTTTTATCTGTAATGAGCAACACCAGACCTGGGGATACTGGGATGCCGTTTGAGAAGGCTCTCACACTACGCCTGGCTAATGATGGTGACCCTTTCTCAAAGTCTGGTATCCTGGGTTTTTCAGTGCAGCTCATGTCTGTAAAGTGTGGGTAGGAAGTCCATCTCTACCTCCAGATTAGTGATGGAAAATTTCAAGCCATGTGTGCTGTCTGTTGCCAGGAAAATGAAGTGGTGATGTTTGAAGCCTTTGGACTTGGGTATTGTTAAGCTTTTAGATTCCCCATGCCAAACTGTCCCCAGGTCCATTTGGTTTCTTTTTTGTCATTTAATCTGCAGACTACATCCCTCCCCTCCCCACATTGGTTCAGATTTGGCCATTCACACTCTTGCCTGGTTTCCTGCAAATCTCCCTAATTGTCTCTTGCATATCCATTCAAGGTTCATCTTACTTAGTTTTCTCTTTTGTATTTGCCACAGCCCTGGCCACATGCTCTCAATTTACCCCTTATTTTATTTACTTTTCCCTGAGATAAAACTTACATACTACGTAGATATATTTGAGATAAAACTTATATACTACACAGATATGATAATATATATATATATATATATATTTTTTTTTTTTTTTTAAAAAAAACAAAATGAGCCAGGCTTCTTACTTATCGTCCTAGCACTCCAGTTATGAGGTAGGAGGATTACAAGTTCAAGGCAATAATGATACCCTATCTCAAATCAAAAATAAATTTAAAGAGGAACCTATGAAATTAATTTTAATAAAATATCTTATGAAGCCCAATATATCACAAACTATAACTTAAGTCTGTAGTTTTTATAAGAAATCATTAATGAGATATTATCGATTTTTCCCCCCTCAAACGCATAGGGCATATCTCATTCAGGTGCACGATTTCCATGGGAAATAGTTCATCTCTTTTCAGCATTCACAAAATTTATCTGCCTCCCTTTCACCTTCAATGCCTTAGCACAGGATATTTTCAGAAGTGATTCCTGGTGTGGTTACAGATTGCTAGACAGCTAAACCACAAAAACTTGGAAGGCAGGAAGCAGCATGGCTAGCAGACATTTTGTGATGTGCCAGGAAGTGAAGTTTGTCATGCCTTAGGAGGCAGTGTTGAAGTCCAAGGTCTGTGGCTGCTCTCAATGGCCTTATCAGTTTAAACAAGGCGCCATTACTGGAGCTATAGACGCTCCTGTTTCTAACTTGCCCTCAGATTCCTACCCTTAGAATATAGGAGAAGTATGTGCTTTGGAAACAGGCAGTTCTGATAAGAATATAGGAGAAGTATGTGCTTTGGAAACAGGCAGTTCTGATAATGGTGCTTCATTTCAATCACTGGCCTCCAAGGCCCCTAGGAGTGAGACACAGGAAAGACCAGTTTTTGATGGAGGAAGTACACCACCCCCAGCTTTCTTTTCTTTTTATTTCACTGGTTTTTCTTTTTTTGGAAGACATATTTTATACAATATATTCCATCCTGATTTCCTCCTTTTCCTCCCAGAGAATCAGCACCCACCCACCTCTCTTTAAAACAAGCAGGCATGCTGGGTGGTGGTGGTGCACGCCTTTAATCCCAGCACTCAGGAGGCCTAGGCAGGCAGCTCTCTGAGTTTCAGTCCAGCCTGGTCTACAGAGGGAGTTCCAAGGCTACACAGAGAAACTCTTTCTCAAAAAAACAAACAAACAACAACAACAAAAACCAACCCCCAAAGCAAACAGGCAAACAAAAACCAAAGCATAATAAACAAAAAGAAAACAACACAAGAAACACACATACAAAATCCATAAAAACACAAAATTGGAAACCATAATACACAGGCAAAAGATTAATAAGATTAAAAAAAAATGCCCAAACAAAGCACTAAGAGACAAGGAGTCTACAAAAATACTATTGAGTTAATTTTGTGTTAGCCACCTACGCTGGGCTTAGAGCCTGCCCATAAGCCAATGAGACTCCATTGGAGAAAAGCTCAGTTTTCCTTTGCAAGTGGATAACTTCTTGGTTAGGGATTCAAGCTCGTGTGCATTTGACACTCTTGGTGCTGGGATACTGTCCACCTTGAAATTGTGCAGGCCTTGTGCATGCTACCACAGTCTGTGAGTTCATATGTACATTAGTCCTTTTGTGTCTGGAAGACACTGTTTTCTTGGAGTCTTCCTTTCCCTCTGGCTCTTAGCTCTTTCTGCCTCCTCTTTCACATAGCTCCCTGAACCATGAAGGGAAGAGTTTGATGAAGACATCCCATGTAGGATTAAATATTCCAAAACTCTCTCATTTTCTGTACAATTTTCCAGGTATGTGTCTCTGTATTAGGTTCCATCTAGTGCAGGAAGAAGTGTCTCTGCTGATGGATGAGTGAGACACTTATCTATGAGTATAGCAGAATGTAGTTAGGAGTAATTTTATTGCTGTTTCATTAGCAGAACAATAGTATTTGGTTTTCCCCTAGGCCTCTCTAATCTAGATTCTTGGCCACAGGAACAATGTCAAGCATGGGTTCCATCTTGTGCAGTGGGCCTTAAATCCAGTCATATAGTGGTTGCTCCCATAGCATTTGTGCAACTATTGCACATGCAGGCAAGTCACTGTTGTAGACTGCAGAGTTTGTAGCTGGGTTGATGGTTACTTTTCTAGAGGAAGGTTTTTGAATGATGGCATCTTTCAGGGAATGGACTTCAATGACAACAGTGAGAAGAGTGAAACCCTGAGACCAGAAAAATGAGGAGGATATTCATCCATGTGGGATTGTCTAAGACCAGCTCTACACTAAAGCAACTTCTGCATAAAGTGTGGTCCCCCATATCTTAGCCTGGTGAATAAGGGCAAACCTATTTGTTAAGGCAGCATATGGTTGTCATCATCAGTATGTGGCCAACTATGGCTTCCTGGTTGGTATCATAAAACCATTGATAAGGTTTTAAGCCATTGTATGAATTTGCCATTTGAAGTCAAAGATCTTAGCTTTGAATATCTAAACTTTGTCCCTTGGAAACTGGGTGGCTTCAAATCAGTCATTTAGTCCATTGCATCTCAAACTTTTACATATACCAAAAGCACCTAGACTCTTGTTGAAAAGTGGAATCGGATGTAACAGGTGTCAGGTGGAGTCTAATGCTCCTAATCTCCAAAAAGCCCTTGAGTGATGCTGAGTAGCTAGGACTTAACTCCTCTATTCCCTGGTGACCTAGTCATGAGAACCTTGGCTGTGGAGCCAGTAGGTACATTGCACATACATTGCACACGCAAGATGGTGTCTGTCTGAGAGGGTGTGTGTTAGGCAAGAGAGTGGTGGCATGGCCTTTCCTCCTCTCACAGGACTTGACACTGGGTGGGAACATCACACTTGCCATCCCTCCCACAGCTTCTTTATATTGCTGCCAGGTGCCTCATGCCTTGGGAGATGTTTCATACTAATGTCAGTGAGCATCTGACTTGCCAGGGGCCTCTGACTCTTGCTGTACTTCACAGCTGGGGCAGATCAGCTCAGTCTGAGATTTGAACACAGCACTTAACCCTGGCTCTTTGTCCTTTGCCTGCAGGTGGTTGCCTTCATGAAGTCCCCAGTGGGTCGGTACCTGGATAGGCATCCTTTCCTGGCGCTCACCATGCTGATATTTATTAGCATGTCAGCCATCCCTGTTGGCTTCTTCCTGCTCATCGTGGTGCTCACCTCCCTGGGTGCTCTTATGGGGGCCATATTGCTGGAAGGTACCCTGACCGAGGTTACTGGGAAGTAACTCAGTAGGGTGGACAGTGTTTATTGGACATCTGCCATTCTTATCAAAGACTCTTCTTTCTGGTCCAAAGCAGCTTGTTAGAGTAGTTAAAACACAGGCTCTTGTATCACGTCAGCCATTCACTACCACCATTGTGATTTGGGACATGACCCACTCCTTCCAACAAGCCTTGGCAATAAAATGAGCAAAGAGACCCCAAATGTAATACAGTTTATGAATAGTAGGGCATGGAGGACAACCAGAGGCCCAGCTGGTTCATGACAGAAGCTGAGACCTACCCAAGTGTTGAACTTACTGTCATTATAAATGATGTCAGAAATGTGAATTTTTATGGGAAAACTCCTGACTTCAAAAATCTGAGTTAGCTGCCATTATTTTAAATACCCTGGCCCACGGACTTCTCATTTTCAGTCCATTTCAGATGAAGGCACCTCCTAACCATGCTCTCCTCCTAGGACTGGTCATCTCTGTGTGTGGCCTCTCACTGCTCTGCATACTCTGTGGCTTGGGCCTCGTATCACTTGCCATGTCAGGGATAGCCATGATGTCCTATGTGGTAGTGTCCTGCCTCATGAACTACTGGTTTTCTCACAGGTAAATATGTGTCAATGGAACAACTTAATTTTGGGCATTTGGATAATTCACACGGGTAACTCTGTAACACTACTTGGGGTCTAACAGTTAAATTATAAGAGACAGATGTTCCTCACAGTCGCCCATAGATGTTAGATATCAGTGGAGTTTCATACATACATACATACACACACACATACAAACAAACATTTCTCCTCACCCTTCATTCACAGAGGTCATCTTACGGCTGTAATAGCTTTATGTGGCAGTTATTAATTTTTCTAAAAAGATATGTATTTAATGTTTAAAGGCCAAATCGGGTAGAGTTTAGGAGGTTTTGGAGGGAAGTAAACACCTGGAGGCTTGTCTATCAGGTTTCCATGCTTACCTCCCAGGGTGGTATAGGAGCTGGTAAGCTGCCACCTTAAGCTCACCTTGGTCTCCTCTGCTTGTCATAGTGTGAGCTTCTCAGCAGGGTAAACATGGCTCATGTTTACTATGTAGGGTTCCCCCCCCCACACACACTGCAGCTCCTGGATCTGGAGGAACAGTGGCCTTTGTAGAGCTGGAGGGAAACCCAGCAGTGCTAAAGTGCTTGGGAGACAATCTTTTATAACATGCTATCTCCTGCTAACTCAAGGGGCTTTCAAAGGCCACTTTTTTGATGCTTGATTTTTGTGCTGTGTATAGATTTTAGATTCTTAAGTTCCCAAGTACTGGGTTTCTCTTGTACTTCACTTAAGCTTTCACTTATTTGATGACTGTGGTGAAGGTATTTGCCTAGTGTCAGATTCTCTGCTGAGTACTTTGTAGCCTTATCTCATTTAACCCCAGGGGAAGGGGAGGCATCTCATTCTTTGATAGGGAAAGGAAAGCCAAGTGCACAAGCTGACACTAGCAGAGAAGGGACTTAAATATATGTCGTTTGAGTCTGGTAAAACTTTCAGCCAAAATATAAAGTGGCCATAAAGCAGACAACAATCTCTGGAAAGGGACAGATAGTAAATATTCTCAGGCATTTAGACCATTGCCAGCCTCTCAGTTCTGTGGCTGTAGTATGGGAGCAGATAATAAGCAAATAAACTGGTCTGTCTGTGTTCCAATAAAACTTTATTCAGACTTTACAAAAACAGAGAGCTTGCCAAAGTTTGCCCCTGTGATCATGATTGATTTGCTAGTCCATGCTCTAAAAAAAACCACTGGGACCCTGAGCTTTGGTCTTCTTACAGAATAGCCCTTGAACATCTTTACAAAAGGCATCTTCTTGCTTGTCTAGCATGGTCAAGGTTCTGGGATTGATCCCCAGCATTCCTCCTGCCCCCTCAAAAAGTTTATCCTGTCATTAGTATTTTGTTGATGTGTCTGTGATCTTAAATTGCTCAGGGGTTGTTCTCACAAGATTGCTTAATTGATAATCCTGGAATCATAGCCAACTTCTAAGTTGCTTTGATCATTATCAGTTTTAAAGGACGCACAGTGCCCTATTTGGCTTATTGAGGGCAATGCTGTGGAGCTAAAATCCCTCCCTGTCCTTGAACTCTGCAATTAGACTACATTCTTAAAAATTATACTGTAGAAAGTAGCATGATGAGGGCCTTGATGAGACAGCTCAGCTAGAAGCTGCAAGAGTAAGGATCTGAGTTTGGAATCCAAGAACCAACATGAAAATGCCAGGCATGATATTCACCTGTGATCTCAGCATTGGGGAGACAGAGATAGTTGAGTTGCTGCAGCATGCTGGCCAGTTAGCCCAGCCTGTTCAGGGAGACCATGTCTCAAAGGAGGTAAACAGTGTTGATGAGGATGACACATAAGAAAATGTGCGCACACACTTATGTGCATACACACACACACACACACACACAGAGAGAGAGAGAGAGAGAGAGAGAGAGAGGGAGAGAGAGAGAGAGAGAGAGAGAAGCAAAATCAGAATGGTGTTTGTGAGTAGAGCGCCTCAACTTGGTTCTCCCTGTTTCCATCTTCTTCCCAACCAGGATATCAGGCTCTCCGTTCCCATATGGGCAGAGATTCTCAACTTCCTGTTCTGAGAACTCACTTCACCTTCTCAAAGGTTATTGAAGCATCCAAGGAGTGGGTGCAGCACTTTGATCACAGTCCCACTGCAAATTATACCAGCGACTATAAAACTGTCTGTTCACTTGAAAGGAAGAATATTACCTACCTAAACAAAAAAACATATATTAATGAAAATGGTTGTATTTTATAAACAAAATTAATTTAGCCAGGTCACATTGTCTTACATTGTATCAATAGCTGTCTCTGTCTTTCCCACCTCCAGCTATATGGCCAGGGCTGGTTTGGAACTCACGATATAGTTTAGGCCATCCTCAGTGTCTTAATCCTCCTGCCTCAGACCCCTCCCCAAGTGCTAGAACTACAGGTGCACAGTGTCACCCCCTGGTAAATCTCTTAACTATGTGCTCTGATGGAAATAAGGCTTGTACCCTGCCTTTGTACCACTGTTCATGTGGTCTGGAGGAAATCTTTGCAGAGGCCTGACCCTCACAGTGCAGTGGGGCAAAGGGAAACCTCCAGAGGACTGTGGACATTCTCTAATAGTATACCTGAACTCCATAAATACTTGCTTCAACTTTAGTGAAAATGTGACTTTCCCCCGCTCTTTTTAATCATATATGTGTGTGTGTGTGTGTACACATATATATATATATATATATACATACATACATACATACATATATATTCTGAATAGATCTGTACCATGTATGATTATGTGACTTCATGCCTTGGGCATGAAGAGTCAGTTCACTGAATCATGTATGTCTTCCACATGAAGAATATACTATTCTTCAGTGAGATAACAAGAGTGGAAAGAACACAGAAGGTTGTGATAAATTCGCTGCCTTCAGAGCACTCCTATATTAAGAAAATCTTTAACACTCAACATAAAGACAGTCCCTTGTTGACTGACTGAAAGCACAAGAGAAGGTGGGTTTGACCCTGAAATAGGAAAGATGACACAACTTTTCTTTTTAAGAAAAGAAAACAAATTCTAAGATGACCTGACTTAGGAAAATACACTAGACAGTTTTCTAAGCAAAACATTGTGATCTTCTCTGTAGATAATCTTAATGTCAAAGGCACTGGAGAGACTTCCTAGGGCCTGCAGGCTGGACTAGGGGGAAGTAAGGGACCAGGGCAGCTTGTGTCTTTGTAGAGCCACCCAAATCATTCACCCCACATCACACTGGCTCTCCCCAAATAGCCAGAGTGTGCCTGGTTTCTTCATACCCAAATCATTCACCCCACATCACACTGGCTCTCCCCAAATAGCCAGAGTGTGCCTGGCTTCCTCTTACCCCACTATACCCAAGTTCTACAGACTAAATTTAGGATTCAGGCATCTGGCAAGCACTTTCTAGACCTTTAAAATCATTATTGAGCCAGGTGGTGGTGGGAACACCTTTGATCCCAGTACTTGAGAGGCAGAGACAGGCCAATATCTGTGAGTTTGAGGCCAACCTGGTCTACAAATCGAGTTTCAAAACAACCAAGGCTACATAGAGAAACCCTGTCTCAAAAAAACAAACAAAAAATTATTATTATTATTATTATTAAAATTTGAGACAAGCTCTCACTAAATTGGTCAGGCTGGCCTTGAACTCACTGCATAGCCCAGGCTGGCCTTCAAACTGCAATCTCCTTCCTGCCTGCAGAGCCTGTCAACTGCCCTTATATGCTTGCTTCCTTATATACTTGCTTACAAAGATTAAGAAGAACAAAGGTTTCTTGGTTTTTTTGTTTTGTTTTGTTTTGTTTTTTTGTTACAAGGTAGAAATGTTTTTGCTGGCAAGTACTTAAAAACAAAGTAACCTGAGGTAGATACTAACTGGAATAGGATTTCGTTTTTATTGCATAACCAAGAGATGGTGATAGCCAGGGCTGGTACAACTACTGTGTGGTGTCACCGATATACCAAGTTTCTGCACCGCCATTCTTAGCCGCCTCATGGCTGTAACTGCTATTGCTCCAGGTATAAATGAATGTTGAAGAGTATGGTGTGGTTGGAGGGGTGGGGAGGGGGGAGCTGTTCTTCATTCTCCCCAAAGACACTTAGGTGTTAGTCAGCTTGGTCAGAGATCCAACTTTCTTAGCTTCCATGACGAGAGCTCACAGAACACACCAGTCAAGAGTGATGCACCTGTGGCTGGGCCATTCTCGGTGTTGCTTCTAAGCTAACTATTTTGTCTTTTCACACAACAGGCCCCTGACACAGCAAAATGCCAACGCTGACTGTCAGCTGGCTATGAAGTCCACGGACTTTGAGAGGCTCTACCAGGAATGACGGGGCAGAATGGAACCAGTTGTTGCTTTCAAAGCATGCCAGGAAAGCTCTTCCCCTCATCGCTTGGATCATAGCTCAGAGAGAGGGCTGGATGATTGCTCTGCTTCGCTGCTCACTGTGTCTAAAGTCCTGCAGTGGCCAGGGCTGCCTCCCCACCTTACCATTCCCCAGCGTGCAGTCTTGACCTTAGCAGAGTCCTAGGTTTCTAGAACTGGGAAGCTTAACCACTAGGGTCTCTGGGTTGAGTCCCAGGCCCCATCTGGAAGTAAGGTAGATTTTTTTAAAAGTTTACTTTCATTTTATGGGGGGGGGGGGGGTAAGGGTTTTAAGAAGAGGTTTTTTTTTTTTTTTTTTTCCTCCAGCCATTTGAGATAAGAGATGAAAAGAAATAACCCAAAGAGAGCCAGCTCTTCTGCCTTTACCACTTTTCTTATCACTAAGAGCAACAACATTTGGAAAGTGTGACCTTTTAAAACCTGAAAAGCAGTCTTAACCTTGCATCCACGAGTCCTTTACAAAAAAGTCTCAGGGCCTAGTTGTTGAGTGCCTTGATTGTTGACATTTTTGAACTTGATGTGTTTATATTGTTTTTAAAAGAGCTTGCCAATGTCAAGCCATTTCTTAACAAACAAACCAAACCAAACAGGAACTGAAGACTACAAAGCAAAAAAAAAAAAAAAAAAAAAAAAAAGCCTGTGTGATTTCCTCTTCATTTATTACAGTATTCTATTAAATATTTATTTGGTTCTTGCTATGCCCTCTCCCCTACCCATTCCCATATGTCAGACATGAATTAATCAGATGTCTGCTATCATGACAAAACAGAGAGATAATTATCTTTATAAAGGAAAAACTGTGGCTCATATTTCTAGAGGTTTCAGTCTATTGGTCTGGTTGACCTGTGCCTGTGATGACACAGTACATGGCTGGAATTCCTGTCAGAGGCCTGCTCCCCTCATGGTGGCTAGGGAGCAGAAAGCCTGGGGTTCCAATAGCCGCTTTAAGGGTAACTTCTTCCCATTAGGTTCCTTCTATCCCATTAGCAATATGGTCTGGTGACTAGGCCTTTAACACATGGACCTTGAGGAACACATAAAACCCATAGCAATTTCTCTGTTGATTTCATAGCCCATCCTGTGAATCTAGGGCATTAGTTACTTTGTTACTTTTCTTGCTGTGACCAAATACTTAACAAGTAGCAAATTTGGAGTGGAACAGTTCATCTGGCTTACAGTTAATGGGGTTGCAGTTCATCATGGTGGGGATGGAATGGCAGCAAGTCACATTGTGCATATAGTCAGAAAGCATTTAGAGGGCTGGAAATGGAGCCCAACTGAGAACCTCAGGGCCTGCCCTTGGCAGGTACCAGGAGCTGAACACATAAGTTTATGGGGAACTTTTCACATTCAAACCACAATACCCAGCATACTTAGTTGCTAGAGACAGCACCCAACTCAAAGCTGTTTTCAAAAGGACTGGAGTGATTTGGAGAGGTAATCATTTCATGCAACCAAAACCCAGTGGGGAGATATGCTATTGTGTTTGAGACAGGACCTCAGTGTACTCCAGGCTGGCTGTAAGATCTTCATGCATTGTGAGGATCTGGAGCTCGTGTGATTGATTTTGCCTCCTTTCCTTACAGGGAGCTGCTTTGTCAGCAGGTCTGTCCCATACTGAGGTTTCTGCAGCTCTTTGGTGCACCTGTGCTTGACTAGAAAGCTGCTCTATACCCATAGTATGTGCAAATTCCAGGCTTGGCTCAGAATGGATAGGTTGGGTCACGTGACCAACCTTGAACCAATCACAGTGACCAATATAATAGCATCTGCTCAAACAGCTTGCCTGTGCCTGTAAGAACTAGGAGGGAGCCTACATCAGCCATTTTGGCCCCATAGTTGGGTGGAGTTGGAGAGAAGGAAGGTGCCCACACAGGAATACCAAAAGAAAAGGAAGTTTCCTAGGAGAAAAAAAAAAAATTATGCCACTGACCCCAGTAGTACGTACATAAAGTTCTCAACTTTCCTGCCTCCTATGATATCCAGCTTTACTTGACCCTGAAGGGGACCCATCCATTAGAAAACAAGGCTATCAATACCATGAAGTGTTAGTAGTAGCAGTTACTGATTATTGAACAGCTCTTCACTTCATGCAAGGGACTGACCTGTGTATCCTGCTGTCCAGCTAGCTGGGTTCTGAGACTTCAGTCTGGGAATACAAAGGTCCCCTGCCTCACTCCCAAGATTTACTGTCAATAGAAATCGATTAGCAGTTGCATTTGTTGTTTATTTAATTATTACTGATCAATAATCTGCAGAAACTACTGGCATAAAAGGACATAGTAATATTAAGAGGGCTGGGTGAGGGTTCTTCTCTGAGGTGTGCCTGGGAAAAGATCTGTATCCAAGCACACATGATCTCGGGTCAACATCCATCCAGCTCCTTGAGGGCTACAGATGGAGGCCCTGGTTCCTTGCTTCATGTCCCTTTCCTTATGACAGCTAACAAAGTGGCAGTCTCTGTCTTCAAAGCCACCAAGGAAGAGACTTAACAAGACAGGTATTACATTTTGAGTAACAGCTATGTACACACAATCACACCTATCTTGTCATGGTCCCTGTTCTTTAGAAATAAGTCTTGGGAATGTCCAATACTAGGGAGAAGGGGTCACACAGATGAATCATGAGCTCCCCTAAAGTCTGTAAGATCGTAACCTGTGATAAGTGCACAGAAGAAAAGTGGGAGAGTGATAAATATATGAGGGTCACTGCAGCCACTGTGACTGGGGACTGCTATGATCAAAGGAATGACACACTCGCTGTGGAAGAAGGAATTCCTGGAGGAGGGCACAATAGCCCAGAGTCTTGAAAACCAGAAGGAACTTGGTGTGGATGGATTTGTTAAGAGGGCACATGGAGACGGGACAGAGGTTTACACCAAAACACAGGGGTGGAGATAATGCAGGAGCTTACATGGCAGAGTCATGGTCAGACTTTGAGTTTTTTGATTCTATATTTTCTATTTGCCTGCCCCCTCCCTCCCTTTCTCTCCTCCCCATTTCATTCTCCTCTTTCCCTCCCTTCCCCCATGCCTTCCTCACTTATTCCTTCACTACTTTCTTCCCTCCTCTCTTCCTACCATCCTTTTTCCTGATAGGGAACTGCTGTGATGGACTTGGGACTCTGTGTAGTCAAATCTGACTTCAAACTTTAGCTCCTTCTGCCCCAGCCTCCCAAGGGTTTGGATTATAGGTATATAATCTATGTCAAGATCAGACTGAGGATGTTTTGTGGCTCCAAAGGGTTGGGGGCAGATAGGCCACTTAAGAGGTCTGCAGTGGCTGAGAACCCAGGATGGTTGTGGCTTTGAGTAGGTTGGAGGGGATGAAGACCTTATGTGGACATCTAGAGGTATTTGTTGGTGGGTTGGTGTAGGTAGAGAAGGAAAGGGGAACACAAAATATTTAGCTTCAACCAGTGGGTGGCTAGTGATGCCATTTCTAGAGATGCAGAAATCCACATCCTGAATTGCTGAGTCCAGCTGTGCCATTTGACACCAAGAGGATGTGTCAAGTGGATAGCTGGCCTGGAGCAGGGTCTCAGCTGGCACACAAGATTTGGGGCTATTTGCAGTGCTTTGCGCAACCTTTCTGGGGAGGCTTTTCAGCTACTAGGCAAGAGTTTTTCAAAACATATTTCTGATTACATAAACACTCTTGCTTCAAACTTGGCCAAGTGCAAAGTGCTTTCCCACAGCACTTAGGAGCACTAGGCCTTTCTATTCATGGGTAGACCAATTAGTTTCCTTACCTGTTTATGTTCTTAAAGCATCAGCTTCTAGTCCACAGAAGGGAAGTCGAGGTACAGAGATTAAATAACCTGCTGAGTTCAGCCAGAAATCATGACATCTAAATCAAGGCTCCGTTAATTCAGTCAGCTTCACAGCACAGAAGCTACTGGCCTTTTGCGCACAGTCCAAAGGATAGCTCATTGCAAAGGTAATTGGTGCCCATGCCATGAAAACTGCAGCTTTACACAGCAATGCATTTTGCTTCCCTTTCTGTCCAGAGAACTTTGTTTCATTTACTTCTGAGCTGTCTTCAGTCTGTGCTTCCAGCCAGTCCAAACTCTTGTCCATTTTAAAGTGAGGAAATGGAAAGACTGAGAGCTTAAACTGCCTAAGGGCAGTGTGGGTAGAGGGACTCCACCCCAGTTTGCCTGTTTGAAAGACTCCCCTCCAGCAACCAGTATGCTGTTGAGTATGAGTAACTCTACCTGCCTTTGAGGCCTTCAGGAGTTAGTCTCTTTCACAGGTATGTGAGGTTCCGAGGCAGCAAAGTACCCGTGACTTTTGTTGTTGTGTAGAATGAATGGCTCCAGGGGTCACTACTGCCATCATGCAAATGTTCAGCTTCTGATGGAGTAGTGCCTGTAATAGCAGTGTGTCAAACACCAAATCCTTGTGGCTGCCATTGAAGCCATTAGGAAGGGGAATTCCTGGGACAGCTGGGTGCTGGAGCTTCCAGTCACACTTAGAAATGTTAAAGAAAATTAAAAAAAAAAAAAATTAGAAGGGAATGAAGTTCAGTAGTGCCTCCCCCTTAGTCCCCTGCCCCTGACACCCCCCCCCCCGCCGAAAAAACAAGTTTGCTTTTGAGCCAGCAGAGGGAGCCAACATCCAGGCCAACTGAAGTCTGGGGAAGAGACTGCAGAAAGCAATCCTAGAACCTGGCTTCTGCGAGCAAGCAGATAGGACTTGAGCTTTGATACTGCCTTCAGCCTCCAGATAAGGCTTTCCACCAAACACACGCTAATCAGACAGGTAATAGGCATCTTCTCCAAAATCACTACTGTCTATGGCAAACCTGAGGCCCAGAGAAGGCGATAGCTTACCCAGAGCCATGCTGTGAGTCTGCAATAGCCAGTCTCGAACCCAGGACTCCTGTGTCCAGCGTTGACTTGGTGGCACGTTTCCTATCTCCTGAATTCAGAGAAGATGACTCCTGAGTGCTGAGTGTGGGCAAGAAGTAAAAAACTACAGTATTGTCAGCTCTGAACCAAGATTCTTTTCATAGCTTGTCCTTGGAGTCAACCAACCAGGAATGAAGAATATTTGAAAAACAAACATGTCTGTGCTGAACATGCCCAGGCTTTTTATTGTCATTTCCTAGTCAATGCAAAAAGTCTTTACATAGCACTCATGTATATAAGGTCTTAAAGCAGTATAGGGAGGTATGTGTAGGTTTTACACTTATATGGCTTGTTATATAAGGGTGACTTTCTGGAGATGAGCAAA